TCATGACCCTGACATCATGATTTGAGCCGAAATCAAGAGTTAGACACACTTAACCGACTGAGCCATGCTGGTGTCCCTGAAATCTGAATTCTTGAAGGCTAAGGGTGCCTGTCACAGAGAACCGGGGAAAAGACTGTAAGAGAGAGAAATACAGTTATTTTTCCAACTGGGCAACGGTGGGATACTATAAACCTGTTATAAAAGTCTACTAAGGAGCATTTTTCTGGAAGTGACTAATCTCCTACCTATGATCTATAAAGCCGCTGATATTCCAAAAGGTTTATAGGCTGCAACCAAACTTGAAGGTATGTTTCCTTCTTTAGATGTGGAAGAAAAGAACTCTTAGCAGATTTTAAATATGAAGGGGCTATATAATGCAGTGATTGGGAGCATGGGCTCTTAGAGCTGTGGTTCACAGGTCATTTTGCCTCCCAGGGGAAATGTGGCAATTCCTGAAGGCATTCCTGATGTCACACCTGGGGAAGGGGGGTATTACTGACATCCAGTAGGTAGAGGCCAGGGACACTGCTAACCATCTACAATAAAGTCGGACAGTCCCCCGCCACACAGATGTAGCTGGCCCCAAATACCAACAGTGCTAAGGTTGAGAAACCCTGCCGTAAAGCAACCAGCCTGGGTTTCAGATCACTTAATACCTGTGTAGCCTCTACCAAGTTATTTAACATCTTTGTCCTTATTATCTTTACCAATGAAATTAGGATAATAATGGTACCCACCTTATTGATTTGTTGTGAGAATAAAATAAATGACGCAAGAAAGGAGCTAAGAACAATGTCTGAGACAAAGCCAGTGCTCAACAAATGTTTCCTTTCGTAATCACTGGATGTACTGAGAAAGACTGAGAAAGAAATATAACAAAATTTTAATAGTGGTTGTTTCTAGGTGGCAAGATCATGACTGGTTTTTATTTTTGTTACACTTTTTTTTTTTAAAGATTTTTATTTATTTGAGAGTGACAGAGCACTCAAGTGAAGAAGGGGGAGATGAAGAGGGAGGGAGAAAGATTCTGAAGCAGACTCCGCACTGAGCACAGAGCCCGGCATATGGCTCGATCCGACAACCATGAGATCATGACCTGAGCTGAAACCAAGAGTCAGATGCTTAACTGACTGAGCCACCCAGGTGCCCCTATTTTCCTTACACTTCTATAATTTCTCTTCATTTCCCAAATTTTCTAGAACTGTATTTATATTAACTTAATATCCAAAAACATATTTATTTTTAAAGAATACAGAGGAAAGAACTTTACTTGTGATAGAGCAGAAAGAGCACGGGGAATTCAGATCCTGGCTCTATTTGCTGTGCGGGACTCTGGGCAGGTTGGTTAATGTCGCTGGGCTTCAGTTTCCTGGATCAGAAATGGGGGCTAATAACCTATATCGCAGAGTCTCTATCAGGATTACACATGACAGACATCCAGTGCCTAGGAAAGTATGCTGAATGAGAGGCTCCCTGAGATGATAGCTTTAAAAGTTTAGCCAAGGGAAAATGACCCTATAAACAGGAAAATATATTCATTATGGTACCCCTCTTTTACTTTTGAAACTGTCCTCTTGGAGAGACCACCTCTCAGCTCATGCCGTTTTTTTGTCCTGGTTCATAAAGGAGAAGTTGCGTCCATACTCTGGTTCTTCTTGTCCATTGCTTCCTCCTTCCCTACGCACACATATGCTAGGAAATGATCCAGTCATTGGGCTCGCAGGGCCTGACTCAGGTGGCAGGGTTTACTAGCAGCGGGCAAGTGACTGTGCCTGAAAGGCAGGACCCAGGCCTCACTTTCTCTTATCTGTGCCCCATGCTCACTGCCCCCTTCCTATCTCCTCTTTCATTTAGCCTCCAAGTTGAAAGCACACTTGGCAAGGCCTCTCCATAAGGGGATGCCTCTCTACTTTCTCTCTGTTTGATCTGGGTTGAGTAGAGCTGGTAGATTTGAGAGATGAGTGGGAAGCCCAGCGAGGCTTCCAGACCCAAGGCTGTAGAGGACACCAGTCCCACTTCTCTGAGAAGTCCTGCAGGAGTGTGGTGGGCATGCAGCGCATGCCTGGCCTTACTGGGCTTCCAGCAGGGCTGTTTCTTTTGCACAACTCACTCAGCAGGTAACACTGGAGGTAAGGAGGATGAGTGGATAGGATTCAAGGACCCACACCTTATCTACAAACCGTATTCTTCCTCTCCTTAGTGACTTAATTAGATGGGAATAATAGAATAGGTTATGTTTGTGAATATCATCGAGAGACGTGACTATTTTATTTTTTTATTTTTATTTTTTAACACAATCTCTACACCCAATGTGGGGCTCGGATTCATGACCCTGAGATCAAGAGTAGCACGGGAGCTCCAAGAGAGAGGATTATTTTAACCCCAGTTAGCCTGCTAACTTGAATTCAAATCCTAAGCAACCTTTCCAGATATCCTGAGACAATCTTTTGCACTCAAGTCCTAGCTGCCATGGTTTGGGAAAGGCAGCCTGGCTCCAATCTACTCTGACACTAACGATCCCAGGGTTCTCGGGGGCGGGGGGGGGGGAGTCCTCTAGTCCTGTGAGCTCTTGGTTCACCATTCTGAGGACTGGGAGCCACAGCTGATTAGGAGAAGCCTGCCTGGGGCCGGAACTGACCTCAACACGTTCAGTTTCAACCCAAGGTGAACTATTTCAGTGTTGGTAGATGGTGCCAGGCAAACACAAGAAGAAAATAAGACTGTTAGGGTGCCTCTATATCTAGATATAAATAAAAATACCAGGAGAACTTCATTCTAAAGATAAATGAAATGTCAGGGGGATTAGTAATCCCCAGGAAAGAATTTATGGATAGTTCTTGGACTCTAGTGTGCTACTGCTCGAGTTAGTCTGACTGGCATGTATAAATTTCAGACATAATTTTGGCTGTTGTCAAGGTCTCTCCCACTACACATGTACTTCTTCACTGTCCTCCTATAAGTACATGCAGAACAAAACAGACACGGGCCCCCAAACAGGCCCCAGCAGAATGCTTTCAGAGCTTTTGCAAATGGATATCGAGAGCTTACCATACACCAGGCCTGGTGCTAAGTGCTAGAAACCCAATGATGGAAGATATGGTCCCTTCACTCAAGAAGCTCACTTCAGGTGACTATAATAGTGTAAATGTGGTATTTGTCCCAGGAAAACAGATTTCAGCAGGGATCCAGGGCTTAATATAAAAGACTGAAGTTCAGTATTGTAGGGGACACACAACCACTCTTCAAAGTATTCTTCAGTGAAACCCTGAAGGGAAATACCTCATTTAGTAAAGAATTTCACAATTTTAGATTTCTATCCCTTTTCTTCCTCCTTATTATCTTTAACCTAGTAATTTCCCTTAGTTTTTCTGTAGCATATAAGATTGAGATCAGTCATCATTAATTGTCAAGAGCCAGAAGGGAAACTCCACAGACCAAAAGGAAGAAATCTTTATATTTCAGAAATTTCTAGAAGTTAAGAAAAAAATTCCTTTTTCCCTTAAAAACCTAATATAATTTGCAAAGAGAGTAATCTATTCCCTTGAAGTATGGTAATATTATTTTAAAGCAACAGATCCAGTCCGTTCGATACCACAGTTTGTATTCATAATTTTAAAAAGTTTTTAATCTATTTATTTTATTTTGAAAACCAAGTAAGTGCTTTTTAAAGATAGTATGTTTAGGCTGGTATTATTACTAAGGTTCAGAGGATGAAAGAATGTTAAGTTCAATTTAAAAAAAAAAATCAACCATGATGTAATTCTAGATTTCTTTTTTGCCTTTGGACATCATTTGGTCACCATAGTAACACAGTATTTTACTACCAGATATCTATACAGCACAAAAGGAAGAGAAGAACAGGCAATTACTTACTGGGTTATTTGGGGGTACAGAAGGTGACTATTGAGATAATTTAAGATTAAATATAAATTCCACTGGGGATCTGTTTCAGCCAGGCAAGCTGATTTGTTCTTCTAGTAGCGTCAGCTGAACAAAATTTGTAGCCAAATCAACTGTTGACATTATTTGAAATAACACAAGCAGGGAAGAAGCATAGGTTAGTAGTTAAAATCATGGACTCTGAGGTCAAGTTTCTTGGGTCCAAATCCTGTTTCTAGTATTTGCTAGCTGTGTGATCTTGGAAATGTTCCCTAACTTCTCTGTGCCTTAGTTTCTTCATTACCAAAATGTGAGTACTATTACCTCCCTCAGAGGGTTATTATAAGGATTAAATGACTATTTGTGCTTATAATGACGTCTTGCACATAGCAAGACCTTTTTAAGTATTGTTAAAGATGAAATAAAATTTAAATTTGCTAGCTTCCCTCTTTGTGCTGGGTAGAAATGGTAAAGATACCAAGATTTGAGTACATGGCAGGTTATTTTAGCCTATAACTTTGGAAGATTCCTTTGAGAACTTCCTGGGAGCCTTCTTGATAGCTATTCTGTAAGATTTGGAAGTCAGTGGCACTCTACTATCCCAAACAAGAGATGGAAATAATCATGAGCTCTCCTGGTATCAGGAACATCAGAAGACAGACAACTGCACAGCACAAAGAAACAGCACGCCTGCCCATTCAGGCTCCCTAAGCCACTGCCAATCACCTCTGGGAACATGGGCACACAGAATAAGCAACTGAAAAGGGAGACAAGATTTTATTGCAGTGACAATGAAATTTAGTTGATTTCAGTAATATTATTTGTTTCCTCTTTCCAGGACTCAAAGAAAAAAATCACTGTCATCAATTAGTGCTTTGTTTTATTAATTATCACTGCACACAATTTCCATCAATTTTTCTTCAACAGGCACTTACTCTGGTGAATCATTCATTTTACAGAACTATCTAAGCAGCTTTTCTAGACCTGTAACAAATCTAAAGCCCCCTAACCAAATCTAAGCCAAGACAAAAATCTCCAAATTGCCTGGAAAAAAGAAGGTATTATGTCCTATAAGCCAAATTTCAGCCGCGATACCACAGGATCCCTAGCACATACCTTCATCTGGACTTGATTTCAGAGATGGTCTCCTTGGGTCTTCTTGGTCAGGAACAGCGCTTGCATAGGAGTTTGGAGAATGCCATACACCACCAGGAAAGCTTGGGAGCACATTCATTTCTGTCCTCTGCCTTCCCCTTGGCTCATAGCCTGCTTCCTGGTAGGAAGACAAGATGACGCTGTGCTGGTTGACTGTTAAACCATCTTCCCGCCCCCAGCCCACTCTCTTGGTGCCCCTCCCTTCTCCTTTCCAAGGCTCTGGAATGTGTCACATGGGAAATGGATCATGTGGCTCAAGGGGAGAATGTGGCCATCTTCTATCTCCCTTCCCCCACTTTTCCTTTCAGGAGCAAAGCAGCAGAAATCTCTGACCTGATTGGCTCTGTCCAAAAATCTCCATATGAAAAGGAGAAAATTCAACCAAACCTCCAGCCTTCTCCACTTTCTTTTTTGTTTTATTTTTCACCTGAACATTTTATTCTGGACATTCAGAGTTGCTTGGTAGGGAGGGGAAGGATACTTTCTTCCCAGCCTCTTTTTTCTTTCTTATCATCAACACCCTAACGTGACAAGGTGCTCCCTCACTCCCCTCTGGAGCCCCCTTAGCACGTCTGAGACAACAGACTGTTCAGCACCAAGGACAGCATTACACCCCCTTCTAGCGTTCATTAAAGGCATTTGTCTATTTCACTCTCAGGTAAATAAAAATATTTTTAAAATATTTCTCTGAGGCCTTGTGTCTAAATATAAGTCAGTCCATATAATTAGGGCTCTGGCTTCCCCTACTATCAACTTATTGTTACCTTATAAACATAAATATAATTTTTATGTTTCATTAAACCCAAAAAGACCATCCCATGCCTACCTCCCTCCCAGTCCCCATTCTACCCCACCATCCCCACCCCTTAGATACGCTCCATGTTTTGGGGGGAGGGGAAATTCTCATAACATAGTCTACTATATGCCCATATATCTATGCTTATGGACAAAACAAAATAAAACACAGAAACACATAGGATTTTTTTGAGTGTGTATGTCAAGATGTCCTTAGCCCCATTCCTAGGCCTCAGGCAGGGTTGAATTAGAGAGGCAAGGAGGGAGCCTGGTAGAAGCTGTTTTGTGCAGGGTCTATCCTGCTTTGCTGACGTCCCTGTTGCCATGGTGCTAGGTGACTGCTGAAGGGGATGATTTCTTTCAGAACCGGTCACCATGGGACCCTGCTGACTAAAGAAAGGGAGAGGGAAAAGGACTGAATTGCTGAGGAGGACTTTCAATTAGCATTTTCAGAGCCAAATTTACCTAATGGGCCCTCTCCTTACTGAATTGTTGCTGACCCTAAATATTAAAAGGATTCTGGAAATTAGTATGGACACTGCGATGGTCACTCCCTCCATATTCCATTGCTTCTTTCCCCTAAAGATCTATTTAGGTGCAACTGAATGAAAATGCCAGCTTCACAGAATGACTGTGGAGTGCCATCCCAGAGGAGGGGGAAAGGACACAGGAGCAGATTTCTCCAACCAAGTCCCAACAGCCTTAACTGGGAGATACTTCAGAACCACACCTGACTGCTGACGCAAGGAACAATTTGCGAATGCTTTACAATGTTATGGGAGAAAGGACAAATATTTTCTAATGTGAGTTGCACAATCATTTTGAATAAAAATAAATTAGACTAGTTTAAGGTCAGTCCTTTAGACAGAATTTGGACTACCCCAAATCAGGAATTTAAGCTAGCTCTACGTTTGTCTCATGAGACTGGCATAGAACTGATTGTTTCTAACTCAGAGTCCTTACCATGGCAATTCTAAATATTTATTTTTGGAGACAGAAATACTTTCAATGTGCAGGAATGCAAATTCTGTTAAAAAAAAAAAAAGAGGTTGCACAGGGGAGCTGGAGTATAATTTCAAGAAATCAAAGTTCCTTCCTGGCTCAACATTCACAGCTTAAGACATAATTACTTCTGGGGCGCCTCGGTGGCTCAGATGTTAAGTGTCTGCCTTCGGCTCAGGTCATGATCCCAGGGTCCTGGGATCGAGCCCCACATCGGCTCCCTGCTCAGCGGGAGGCCTGCTTCTCCCTCTCCCACTCCCCCTGCTTGTGTTCCCTCTCTCGCTGTGTCTTTCTCTGTCAAATAAATAAATAAAATCTTTAAAAAAAAAAAAAAGACAATTACTTTTTATTTTAGGAGAAAAGTCAGGTTAATTCCAGTTTTTCTATATAAGACTCACAGAGAATTGCAACTCTGCTAATTCTGATACTTGCTGCTTTTAGAAAATTCATTTATCAGGAAAGCTAGATAGGTGTCTGAAGAAATTCTTAGAGAGCCAGCAGGATGGTGACTTCGATATCATCTCCCTTTTCTTAGCCAGTAATAATAGTAACAACAACAACACAAACAGCTAATATGTAACATGTGCCAGGTGTTTAGCACATGTCACTTAGTCCTCCTACCAAACTGTGAGACAGGTACTATAATGATCTCTCCTGTTTTATAGATGAGACTGAGGCTTCCAGAAGATAAGGAATGTGCTCCGAACCGCACAGCTAGTTAGTGTGGGAACAAGGCTTTGGAACTATTTAATCGGACTCCAGAGCAGGCACACTATACTATACTATTCTGCTAACTATACTATTTAGACTAAAAATAAGTTGTCAAATGTAATGTAATGTGATTCACTACTAAGGGCCTCCAACAGGAGAAATCAAAAAGATTGCTTCTAATTACTTGAGACAAAAAAAAAGACCAAATTATTCATTCCTTTTAGGATGATTACATGGGTACATTATGGCTTAATGATAAAATAATAATAATTTTTCAAGGAATCATAATCCAAAATATTATTAAACATGTGGTGTAATATACTAATTGTGCTTAAAAAATCTTAAACTTGTAATCACCAAACTTATTCCTGGTCATTTGGGAGAAAATAAAAAGACAGTGTCTTCCATCAAAACTCCACAATACTTGTAATTGGGGTAATATTTTGAAAATGATTTATGTGATTTTTTTTCTCCTTTGCCTGGGAATCAATTTGCCTTGGAAATAGGGAGTGTGGCACTGTTTCAAGTTACAAAAGGAATGGAAAGAAAGAAGGAATTAATATATTCAGCTTCTGAAATTCAAAACAGGAGTGTGCAGCAAGACAAAAGCCTTGAAATCCAGGCTGTTCTTTTGAAAGTCATTCTTGAAATTCCTTTATTTATGCTTTTACTTGTCATCAACCAAACATGGGAGAATTTGCTTAGAGTGTTTGGTACTCTAGAGAGGTCTTGAGACTGGGGCAGACAAAAACTTTCCAAGAGGTCCAAGAGCATGCAGACAGTTTTATGGGAACTAATTTCTAGACCCTCAACTTCCACAAGTATGCTTTCTAAAGCTGATCTTCCTGAAAACCTGTGCAGTCAGGATGCCATACTGATTCTTGGTTCCCACCTACTAGTTTTCCTTCCATTTTATCATAGAATGGTGAACTCCCACCCACCTTTACCTCAAATCCTACAGTGGTGCACTGCCTGAATTTAAAAAAGCTCCTGAGAACTGAAGGAACAACTGGAAATATTGGGGATGATCTTGAGATATTAGTGACCGGCCCCCAAAATTGAGTAACAAATCCTTTTAAAAATCCTGAGTTTTCTGATTGCTTTCAACAAAACTGAAAGCAAACCACTATCCAACTGGCCACCGAGAGATTCATTAAAATAGTTTTCTTAAAAGAAAGCTCTTTTTACAGAAGAATGCCAGCTGATGAATACAGAGTATAATAGCTAGGGCACCATTTTTGCAGCCCCCAATGAAATAACCTATTCAGGCAAGGACTAAAATGGGTATTCAAACTATCAAATGAGAAGTTGTTGAGAACAGGTTGTTTGTAGATTATTTGCAAACTGCAAAGGGAAAAGTATCCTTTTCCATGGTGAGACTGGAAGGGGGTAGGGGTCACCATCTTAACCAGGTGACCAAATTTTTGCATCACTAGTAGTAAGACAGCCTGAAATTATGTGCCTAACATGAAGCAATGTGACCTACCCAACATTACTAATCAAGTATTCTTTCTAAAAAATGTTTAATCTGAGTCTAATCAAACTTCTATCCATAATGCCTAGTTTCTTAAAAAGGGCAGGGGTTGGAGAACAAGTTGTAAAACATTATGAGGAAATAATCAGCCAAACTAAGAATACAGAATATTCTACAAGGGGACTCGTCTGGACGTATCAAAAAGTCAATGTCACAGGGCACCTGGCGACTCAGTTGGTTAAGCGTCCGACTCTTGATTTTGGCTCAGGTCATGATGCTCAGGGTTGTGAGATCGAGCCCCATGTCAAGCTCCACACTGGGCATGGAGCCTGCTTAATATTTTCTCTCCCTCTCCCTCTGCCCCCACCCCACCACTCGCATGCTCTAAAAAAAATTAATAAGTCAATGTCATGAAATAAAAATTAAAAAGGTGTGCTGTTTGCAGGGTATGCTGTTACAGATTCAAAGAGACTAGAGATCACAACATAGGATTTGCTGAGATGCTAACTGGGGGGGGAGAGAGAATAGATATAAAGTAGCTATAAAATATTTTTGGGACAGTTTGGGAAATCTGCATTATGAAATGGATATTAGATAATATCACAGAGTTGTTATTTATATTAGGTGGGAAAAAGGAATTGTGGTTTATTGGAGAATTTTCTTATTCTTAGGAAATGCTGACATATTCAACATAAAGTGTCAAGACAAATGCAAGTTACCCTCAAACCGTTCAACAACAAGAAAATATATGTATGTACATATACAGAAAGGGCAAGTAAATATGGCAAAACATTAACAATTGGTGAAATCTAGGTGAAGAGTATATGGGTGTTTAATATTGTACTTATCTTTAAACTTTGTCAGTTGAATGAAAAAGTAATAAATACTGCCCTATGGCAGAACAAGGACATGCCACATGGAGTCTCTCCCTTTCCAGCTTAGGTTTAGTGAGAAAGAAAGAGATAAAGGAGAATAAAGCTGTCAGGAAACTAGGCCTGACCTCTTTCTAGGCCAAAGTTGGATTTGAGTGTATTCATTTTTTACTGTGGCTATAACAAATCACCACAAATTTAGCGGCTTAAAACAACACAAATGTATCATCATACAGTTCTGTAGGCTAGAAATCGGACATGGGT